TTTAGGGTTTAGGGTTTCTTAGGGCACAGGATGCTCGAAGCCTCCCAATCCCCTCAACTTGCAGGCAGTGGAGCTGATGGAGGCTGACGTCCCTATTCCAAAGGATTACAAGCCAACAACCAAGTCGTTCACCCTCCAGCCGAACTTGGCCCCAAACCCCGTGGATGTCGACAGCATTGGCGGGATTCAGATCTTGCGTCTTGCTTCGAGCGGTTTTATAAGGGTGCTTTATTATAATGCTTTGGANNTCAGGCTTTAGGGCTTCAGGCTTGAAATGTTCGGGAATTATGAGCTTCTTGAATCTGGGCTATATCTAGTTCTACTGGAAACCCAAGACCCAGGGATGTAGGCTGGCAATTATACCCAGGGTTATGATATGATATATTCGGGGTTAAGGAACTAGGGGAAACAGGGCTTAATTAGACCAGCATTACCCGTATGCTCAATGCTTGAGGTGGGCTGAGAACCAGATCTATGTTCTGAAATCCTTGACGACGTACCGTGGTGCGGTTAAGATCAACAAAAAAGAAGGGTCCACGATCTCCCAGCGCAAGCAGAATGGATGGGCAAACGCTTTTCAGCTTGCCAAGATTGTGGCTGGCTGGGTGCCTGTATCTCGGCTACTTTCGAATATAGACATGCATCTTCATGCATATGATACACATGCTACCTACTTACCTACCTATCTACCTNNCCTACCTACCTGCCTACCTACCTGCTTACCCACCTACCTAGCTACCTATCTACACATTATATATATATATATATTATACATACATATACATACGTACATACATACATACGCACAGACCCACATACACGTGTGCCTGCATGTCTGAAGATGCCAGGGCTTCAGGGCTTCATCCGTGTGTTTCCCGGCACAGTTCAATGTAATTATCACCGGTCCCCTTCAAAGATTAGCCACCACAAACAGCTGTATAATTAATCGGACAGGAAAGGCTCAAGAATCCCAATACCAATATAGGCACCAGGTTTTCAAGCCCATGATCTATAAACTACAAACCCGAAACCCCAAAGCCAGACTAGACACCATTCAGCACAAGACCTCTATGTACCTCACCGGCCAAAAACTCACTACAAGACCCGGGTAGCCAAGATCCCGAAGCTTCGTTAAGGCCTCTAAGGCCACTATAAAGCTATATAACTTTCAAGCTTCCGAACAGTCATAGCCAAGTCTCCTGAAACCATAAATCCCACAACCCTTTAAAGCTGTACATCGTAAGCCCTAAGGCTAGAATTAAGCCCCAAATTTAAGCTCTAGTCCCAAAGCCGCAGCAAACAAAAACAAAGGAAACCCGAAGACTCCACCAAGTAAGCTCTCAGGAGCCAGATGCCTGAGCTTCGCAGCGCCGTTTTGAGAGTCCTCGCAGGACAACCGAGAAACGTTTGCAGCCCTAGGATCTATAGTTCTCAAGCTCTAGAGAAGCTTCATCAGGACAGATGATGCGATATTTCGCTGATTTGGGTGTGGATCTGTCGGGCCCTGATTGATGGGATACGCTGTTCGAATTCAGTTTAACTTTCGAGCTACGGCAACACCGCTTCAGCTAACTCTGATCAAACTTGCGAGCAGCCTATAACCCCGGTAGCCATGGCTGGACAATTCTTTGTGTCTGCTAAAACAGCGGCGCTCATGGTTTCGATTGGAGTTCCCGTGATAGTGAATCTCGGCCGGGCATCGAATAGATAGTTGTACTGCAATCTTCGGTTTGAGGGTCATGGCCTTGAATGCTGCAAAACCGAGGATTCACCTCATCGACTACTTGACCCAGCTGAACATGACGAGGTCTCCCGAAGATCCCTTGTTTTGGAAGCGTGCACCTTGCTTGCGTAAAATAATCTATGCTGCTAAGGGCTCGAGACTTCGATTCTGTGCATTGTGGCATACTATATATATATATATGCAATATAAGGACATCCAGATCCTCGAGCTTTTCTCTGGTCGAGGCCTGCTAACACGAGCATGCCGACTCTTGGCTGCATGAACACCGCTGACCCCAAATGTGAAGTCGCATCCACACCGTGTGTAGCCTGAGCTGTTATAATAAGGAGACAGTGGTATGCGAGCCCAAAACTTCGAGATTTCGATTCGTGGGGACTTGAACGACCTGCTATCCCTAGCTGGTTTCACCACGGCTGTCAGAGATTGCTGTCGCGTTCAAAGTGGTGGAGTAGTGTGGGCAGGCGTGCCTTGCTCAAGGTGTTTTGGTGGCAGATGTTCGATTATTAAATTCCGGAAGCCTGAATAGGCCATGCATCTAAGTTGGGTATGGATCAGCTCGGCTTCGACCGGTCGACGATCAGTGATTGAGGGAAACGGGGCCAAGTGCACCCTGGAAGCTAATACGCTGGTGGCTCGTTTCGCTATACTGGCCTTGGTCTGCACAGCCCTCAATATCTTCTGGGCGGTGGCTAGGCATATATATGGTGCCCTCGTATTTAAGCTTATCTAGATCTTCTATTAACCCAAAACCCGAAGCGCCACAGGTGGAGCAGCCCAGCTCGTCGCTCCTCCGCACCTTTCCGGCGATGACGCACGCGTGCAGCCTTGGGGGAGCGCTTCAGAGTTTCTTTCAGAAGTTGTGCCGCGACGCATATAAATGGATTCGCAGCTAGGAGGGTGCTTTAGGGTTTTTGTTTAGGCCCTAAACCCTAAACCCTAGACCCTAAACCCCTAAACCCCCTAAACCCCCTAAACCCCCTAAACCCCTAAACTCTCTTTTGTAACCTGTTTGATCTAAACCCCTAGAGCCCTAAACCCCTAAACCCGAAACCCTGGGTTCGGTTTTAGGGTTCTGGGTGTAGCTTTAGGCTTTAGGCCTAAATGGATTCGTGTCTAGACGTAGTTGGGTTCCTATGTGGAGGGTGTTGGTTCGGTAGTTATAGGGTTTAGGGTGTAGGCTTTGGGCTTTAGGCTTTAGGCTTTAGATCTTTTAGTGGTGTCATTATCGGAACCTCGGCAAGCAGATCCAGGTTTGAATCTAGCCTTTCACAGAATTTAAAGGTTATTAGCTTATTATAGGTGGAGGGCCCGAATCCAAGTCCATTATAAGTTCGTATATTATTATATATTTAAATATAATATATATATATATAACACGTTATAGTCCTCTCGTATATAGCTTGTAATATAAGAACCCGACACTGCTGATTAGACCCTGATTTCGAACACCTGCCTTATAACTCCAATTCACTGACTCAGTTGGATGGGGCACTTCGGCCACTTCTGCCCAAAGCACACGCAGGTCTTTGGGACATGGTGCCCTGCCTAAAATTATCGAAAATAGAACTCTATTCCCTCGCAGGGTTCTGTAATGTTTGAAGTGCGCCCCAAGGGCAGCTGCGAATGTCGCTGGGCATTCCTTAAAGCAGCGACCATACTGTGTTGGCTTTCATCTCCAACTCCTGTTGTTTGTCCCAGCTGAGACTTTTTACGGGGACCCAATCCACATGATGTTGCTCTGCCGCCGACAGAGGTCTGTTGTCAACCGTAATCGAAGATAGTTGCCGACACCTCACCTAGGTGCTTAGCCCCGATCAGGATGTCCCGAATCGATTCCACAATCGGCCAATTAGCCAAGGCCTGGTATCGCGAAGATCTATGGCACGCTGAGCAAGGCCCAGAGGCAGGAGTTCCGGAAGAACACGGGTATGGTTACCAGAAAGATCGACAAGACATCTGGTAAGACCAAAGTGAAACCTGCCTATTAAGTATTATAAGTGGTTTAAATATTCTCTAGCCCACCCTGGCCATAGATCTATATAGCACATATATATATATACACACACACACACCTAATTACAACTGCCGCCGAAAAACCCTAAGCCCGAACTCCAATAGCACGATGCAGTCTTTATTAGTTGCTTTAAGGGTCGGCTTCGGGATGGTCTTGGGGCTGACACTTCACCCACCCCGCAAGAAAGCCCTGCTAAAAATGGGCTGATGGGGTAGCTAAGGACAGGCTCTCGCATGCTGAAATCCAGTGGCGCCTACCCTTATGCTTTCGGCAAGTTTGTGGCGAAACTGATCCAGGATCCCGAATCTGGGCTTACAGTTGAAACTGCGACCATAAACCAAAACCCGAGATCCTAGGTCACAATCTATGATATGAGTCTCCACCGGCCAACCCCAAGAAGAGAAGTTCTAGTATATAGGCATGCTCGGGTTCCCAATTAATTGTATACCAGTACGCACTAATACTAGAACCGAAACCGTGGCCAAGTACATATATATATATATATACTAAAGTAGCCCTGGCCTAAAACCCTAAAAAACCTAAACCCTAAACCCTAAACCCCTAAACCCTAAATCTTAAAAACCCAAGCTGAACCCTGGACTGCCCGAGGCGACAACTGCGACGTGGCCCACTCCTGCCCAACGGCTCGATGCTACAAGTATGCAGGGACGGACCACAGTGATCGAGGCCTGTCTGTTTAACTATCGATAACAGCTATGCAGTAGTAGTATATAGTAGTAGTAGCAGTAG